TGATACCTTGCCAGAAAAGTCACCTGTCCTGCCACTGTCTGTGCTGGTGTCATTGTGATTGGATGTGGTAGTTGGTGATCAACTCTCCTTGTTTTTATTGAGCAGAACTAGGAGTTATGACACCATATTGTCTGTCCCTCTGTTATGGTTTAGGTTTAAAATCTCCCACAAAAGTCTCCTGTATTTGAAGAGTGATTGGATGACAGAACTGTGGATTAGTCCACTAATGAGTTCATAGCTAACTTGCCGTTAGGGCTGGGGCCTAGTTAGAGGTGGGTCACTGGGGCCATGACCTGGAAGGATGTATTCCTGTCACTGGCTCTTCCCTTCTCTCTCTGCTTCCTGGTTGCCATGAGTTGAGGACCTTTTCCCTGGCCATGCCCCTCTGCCATCCTATTTCTATCTTGGAGTTAACTGTCCTTGGACTGAAACTGTGAGCCAAAATAAACCTCTTCGCCTTTAAGTGGTTTCAGCCATGGAAAAGTGACTAATACAGCTTCCTAACACTCCAGAGACTGCATTCAGTGATGGGGTAGAGATGATGGCCACCTGTCCTGAAAAGTAGCCTGGCCCGATTGTAATAGTCTGAATGGTTGATCAAATCCCACAGCTCTTATATGTAGATTTGATAATCAAATCTTCTTAGTTAATAACAGGGCTGGGGATTTAGCTCAGTGGCACCATGCCTGACTCACAAGTGCAAGATCCTGAGTTTGATTCCCAGTACTGCAAAAAACAAAACAAAACAAAACAAAAAATAAAAATAAATACAGGCTTCTGTTGAGTACCTAATTCTACAGTGATCTGGGTTATTCTCTATAACTGATGCATTCTAAAGACAAAATACATTTTTATAGGCAACTTCTATTTCTTTTGTAAATATAGTTTTATTTTCATTCCTAAGTAATATGTTTTGTTGTAGAACTCTTAGAAAATATAGTTAAACACAAAGAAGAAAACTGAAACATCTATAATTCTACTACACCATTGACATTTATTTGTATAACTTACAGAGCCTCCTGAAAACACATTTTGATGTATGCATAACATTATTAAATAGGTAAGCCACACATTCCCATGTTGAGAAAATCCTCAAAAATATATGAGTTATATGCAAAACTAAGCCTGTTGGGTGGGTATCTATTATCAGCACATTTCTTGGCAATTCATATCACATCCATTCCTACAAAGTTTCTGCTGCTTGCATATTATTTTATCCACTCCTGATTAAAAAAAAAGTTGTACCAAGTTGCTGGTAAATAGTACCCTTAAATATAAAATAGTGGCCAAATTCAAAGCCCAAGGCAACACATATGGCTGGTAGAATATCTGAGATTAATAATACTTATGTAATCCAAAAAGCGCTAAGGGAGTTTAAAATAATGGCTGGGATACTTAAGGTCAAAGAGAATTAAATGAAAATGAAGTTTCTAGGTACCCAAAAAGATTGCTCTGGCATACATATTATCCAGTTCCTATATCTGTAATTCGAAACCCACATTGTTAACATCTTAAAATTGGACCTTTAAGATAATATTTTATATAAAAATTAGGGCAAATTACAACAGGCTGATTATTACAACCCCAAAGTGAACACTAACTTTTTATTTATCTTTAAATGAATAAAGATTGGCAACCAGAACAAATCTTTGTAAAATAATTTTATACAACTAATACACAATTTTAGCTTTGCTTCTCTCTCCATCTTCTTCCTCTTCCCCCTCCTCCCCTCTTCTTCTTTTCCTCTTCCTTCTTCCTCCTCCTCTTTTTTTCTTCTCCTCTCCTTTTTCTTCTTTCTCCTCTTCTCCTCCTTCCTTCTCTTCCTCCTTCTGCTCCTCCTCTTCCTCTCCCTCTTTTTCTTTTTTGCCAAGGAAGTACTCAACTAGAATTAAAGCAAAATACTCAAATGCTCTTCTCATTTGGACCTGTACTAACTTATAGTTCATTTATTTTGAAGTTCTACTTTTAGGAACAATGAGACTGAAACAGCCTCTTCCACATACATAGAGATGAAATGTTTCTGGTTCCTACTCTGCAAGCAGAGCTCAAACTTAAGTAGCACAATCTGTCAACAGGCTAGTGTGCTAAGAGTAATTACTATCAGTTACTTTATAGCAACTTTACATTCTATAGTCATAGCCTATAGTCATATTTATGATTTCTCAGAAAATAACAAAATCTATTCATTCAATCACACATTTTAAAAACATTTATTGAGCACTTACTTTGTATCAGGTGCTGCAAAAGCTTTGGAGATATGGCATGTAGATAGTTAATTCTGTCAACTTGACTGGATCAGGGGTGCCCAGATATTTGACTGAACATTATTTTGGGGTGTATATATGAGGGTGTTTTCAGATGAGATTAGAACTTGAATCAGTGGATTTGGCAAAGCATTTTCCCTCCTCTATGTTGGTGGGCATCATCCAATCTGTTGAGTGCCTGAATAGAATAAAAAGTGAAGGAAGGGTTTGCTCCTTTTTTCTGCCCAACTGCTGAGTTGAGATATCTCATCTCTTCTTCTCCTGTCTTGCAACTGACACTCATACCATTTGCTCCTTTGACCTTAGACACAGAATGAGCTACACTGTTGGCTTTCCTTAATCCACAGTTTACAGATGGCAGATTGTGGGACTTCTCAGCCTCTATAATTTGTGAGCCAATTCCTCATAATAAATCTCTTTATACATCTGTATCTCCTACAGGTTCTGTTTCTCTGTAGAACCTTGACTAAAGCATGGCTTGAACAACATGGACCCACTTTCCACCCTGATTGGGTTCACTTGCCAAGAGGAAGAAATGAACATTAAATGGATTTAATTCCAATTATGAAGAACAGTCTGACTTGGAATGAATAACAAAAGAATCAATCTTTGCCTCCAGACTTGAGGTATGGCTTCCCTGAAGTTATCACCATTCAGCGAAATCCTAAAAGTGAGGAGGAGTTGGTGTCCCCACCCCACCCACCCCTGCTCCAGAAATTTGAGGGACAACACCATATGCAAAGGCTTAGGGGAAAGCAGTAACCAAACTATAAGAAGCACTCTACAGCAAAAGGACAAGTGAAAGACAGGTGAATTCTCAGATTTAGTCTTTGCTGTATATAAAAATGTGGTTATAAACAGGATGGGCAATATTTGGAAAGACAACCACTAAAATATAGTGTTAAATTCACAGAATACAAAATTAGCCAGGCTTCCTTCTATAAATTCTAATCTCTTCTCTTTCCCAGCCCTTTGAAAGTTGATGTTCCTCATAGTTCTGTCCATGGTCTTGGCCCTCTTTCACTCATATGCTGAGTACTCTCTCTAGAGAATCCCCGAAGTTCCTCTAACAGGTCTGACATGTTTCCAGCCTAAGGCACTTCCATGTCCCTCTACAGTGAATACTCTCCTCTCCTCTCTTCTCGTGGTGTATTTTCCTATTACTTTTTAGGTTTCTGCTTAAATGTAAACTCTTCAGAGAGAACTTCTCTGACCATTAATCACCCCTGTTCTTTTACTCTCCTATGTTTTGCTGATGCCCACTAATATTATCTGCCACTTTATTATATTTCTTTGTTTATTGTCTCCTGTGTTAGTCAGGTTTCTGTCACTGTGACAGTTGTACCTGAGAATAGAAACTTAAAGGAGAAAGTTTATTTTTGGCTCATGATTTTAGAGGTCAGTCTATGGTCAGCTAACTCCATTGCTTTAGACTTGTGGTGAGGCAGAATCATGTTGGAGAGGAGTGACAAAGGAAGGCTGCTCCCTGCTCACATCATCGTAGCCAGGGAGAGAAGAGAGGAGAGGAGAGGAGAGGAGAGGAGAGGAGAGGAGAGGAGAGGAGAGCTTGGTATAAGATATATAATCCCTAAGGTCAGACTCCCCATACTTTCTTCAATTAGGTCCCACTGTCTAAGTGTCCATCACTTCCCAATAATGTCATCAAGTCATGAATCCCTGATTGGATTAATCCACTGGTGACGTTAGAGCACTTGTGATCTAGTCACCTTCTGAAAGCCCACTCTCATTGCTGCATTGGAAACCAAGTCTTCAATACAAGAACCTTTGGGGGATATTTCATATCCAAACTATCACTTTCCACCCATGTCTCCTAATAGCTAATGGCTATCTCACAGCACAAAATGCATTCAGTTCAGTTCCAGGGGTCCCCCAAAGTCTCAGAAATTCCAGCATTGTTCAATAGTCCAAGACTACGTACTTCCAGTGTTCAATGGTATAGACAAAAGGTAAACATTTCCATTTTAAAAGGGGTAAAAGGATGAATAGAGGCATAGAAAAGAGGAATTGGACTAAAGCAAGACTAAAACCCCAAAGGGCAAATGTTAAAGTTTTCAGCTCCATAGCAGTATCTGGGGCACATGGTGGCACACTATGAGCACCACAGGACTTGGGCAACAGCACCTTTAATAGCCTTGCCAGTTGTAGCCCATATGGCCGCTCTTCTGAGGTGATTCTCTCACTGTCTGTAGCTTTACTAAGTAGTTCCATATTTTTGGCTTCTTTAACTGCCTGGGGTCTCCATTACGGCTTTGTTTCATTCTTACAGTTTCACCTATCTCCCTTTCAGGGCTTGCCAACAGGGATTTTGACACTCCCACGTACTGCTTGGCATCCCATTGAGATCTGAGTAAAAGTCTCCATGAACCCACAACTTGTGCAATCTGCATGCTTACAAAATCATCAGTACATGGATACTGTAAAAATCTACTTCTAGCATGAGCAGTAAGTGGGCAACTTGGACCATGGATGAAATGGCCTCTGAGTGCCTGGATGGCTGAACATGGTAAAGTGAATTTCTGGGGAAATGATTTCTTCTGCAGGCCTGTGATAGCAGTGTACCCCAGCACTCTCTTATCAAAGCAGTCTTTTAAACAAGTTTATACTTTTACACACTTGAACCTATGATGGATAGGGTCTGACAAATTCCAGAGATACCCCCAAGGCATTTTTCTTGTTGTGTCAATGCAAAGAACTTGACTCTTAAAATTTAACAGCAGTAATCTTTTCAGCAACCACATATTCTTTGACCCCAACTTTATGTACAATCTTTTTCTGGTCAAACTTAAATTTTTCAGGGTTTTTTTGCCCTAGTTTTTGCTCCCAAAGCTAACTATAAACCTAACTGAAAGCAGCCAGCAGTACCCATGTCACTGCCTGAATGCTGTGCTGCCTTTAAATTTCCTCTGCCAGATTAATTAGTCCATCACTTTTTAAATCAGCCTCCCATAGAGTCTCACAGCATGGACAAAATGCAGACAAGTTCTTTGCCAGAATGTAATAAGCATGTCCTCTAGTCAAATTCTAAATAGAGTCTTCATTTTCCTCTGAAACCTCATGAGCTTGGCCTTTATGTTCCACGTTCCTATCAGCATTCTGGTCTTCTGAGCTCCCCCCACAATTGCCCATCAAGGTCTGCTTATAGCATTCTAGGTGTTCTCTAGTCCATTTCTCTAAAATTTTCCAACCTCCTCCTGTAAACCAATTCTAAAGGCTTTTGGACCACATGACCAGATATGGTCACAGAATGACCCCACTCTTGGTACCAATTCTCTGTCTTAGTTAGCTTTCCATTGCCTTGACAAAATACCTCTGAGTAAATTATTTAAGGTAGGAAAGGTTTATTTTGGCTCATGGCTTTAGAGATTTCAGTCCATATTCATCTGGCTCCATTGCTTTAGGCCTGTGGTGAGGCAGAAACATCATGGGAGAAGGACATGACAGGAAACCTACTCATCTACAGTCAGAGATGGAGAGTTAGTCCCTAAAGTCACATTGCCATGACCCACTCCCTTCAAGGAAACCCCACTGCCTAAGTTTCTATCACCTACCAATAATGTTATCATATTACAAATCCCTGAATAGATTCATCCACTGTTGGAGTTAAAGCTTCCACAATCCCGTTACCACCCCAATCCCCACTCTGAACAATGCTACATTGAGGACCAAAATTTCATTGCATGAGCCTTTGGGGGACATTTTACGTCAGCATAGCACCCTCCACCATAATGTGAGCTTCATGGTGGCAAAATCTTTGTTTGTTAACTGTCGCACAACTATTCAGCCATTCATATAATGTTATTGGCACAAAGTAGATGAATATTCGTTTTTTTAATAGGCACATGACTGCTTGAATGAATGAATGATCAAATGGATCTCATCATTTTCCATGAATTTCTAGTGCCCATTAATCCATGCTCTACCTTGCCACCAGGGAAATCTTTTTTACAACACAATTGTAATCATGCTTCCTTACATTATACAGTGGCTTCTCTTTGCTGTAGGATAACATCTAAGCTTCTTGTTATGCACACAAAGCCATTAAAGTTTGGTTCCTATATAAATCCTAAAATTTATTTCACATCGTTTCTCTTTCTTTGATCTCCATCCTGCTCTGTCACTGTTATAGTTTGAGCCTAGATATCCCCCCTCCCCACCACAAAGCCTCATGGGATCACAGGTAGGGCTTTTTCAGGGGTGGCTGAATCTAAAGTATATGATGCTGGGATTAAGGGTGGGTGATTATTAAATCAGTACACTGATTGGTTTGGCGACACCCTAGTCACAGTAGCCTTGATAAAATATAAAGAATAGAAAGAGGCTTGTCCTCATTGTATCTTCTGCATTCATATAAGGCTTTTTTGCTGGAAGTATGGAGCACATGTCTTTAATCTGTTGAGAAGGTTCTGTTCTACTTCTGGTCTCCTGATAACTTTTACCAGGAACAGCTGTGGAATTTAGTCCAACACTTTTTCTCCAACTAGTGACAGGATCATATGGCTTTTTCCTTTCCTCTGTTAAAATG